ACAGTTATTCTATGAGACAGGGGTCCAGTGACTCTCAAGCTGCTCCTAGTGGCATGAAAAGACAAAGAAAGGAAGTAACCCCAGAGAAGGCTTTGCTACCTAAGTCTTTATGGAGGGGGATTCCCCTTCCAAACACTAACTCCTCCCTCTTTCCTCCTCCCTATCTTCCAGAAGCCAGCATTAGCCTTCATTAAAGATATGTAACATTTATATAATTGTTAAAAAAATTATTTTTTTTGTGAATATTTTTGTCTGGAACTGAATGGATTACGGCCGATAACAAAGGGTCCACTGTATTACATATTACTGTATTATATATTACATATTATTATGAAGTCCAATCCCTGCACTTTAAAGGAGGAAAGCACTAAACTAATAAGGGTAATATGGCCTTGTGGAATGGGAGGTAATCATATTAGATCCAAGTACGGGAAGATTGTCAATTACTTGGCCTAAGATCCCCTCACCGGAATTAAGGCACCCCTTGTCCTCCTTCCCTTTAACCCCTTGACTGTCACAACCCCCAATCCTGAAGTGTCTCCTGGTGTCGCAAAATTTCAAAAAAAAAAAAAAAAAATCTTATGAAATGATAAGAGAATCTTTTCCCGATTGTAATGACACCAAAAACATGAAATTTGATGGAAAACTGATGGAATTACGCTCTCGCGAAGTTAGCAACCTTGGCGATATTTACAAATCGGCGATTTCGCCCACTTTGAGCCCTATTTTCGGCTAATTCCATTGTTCCAGTCGACCAAACTCATAACTATTTTTTTAGAAATCCATTTTTTCTATCGATTGAGTACAAGAAACTGCCCATTTACCTATTTCAACTACCCAATAACGTGGTCAGAAATTTGCAATTTGGCCAATTTCACGCAAATTAAAAAATATGACAATTTCAAAATAAAGTCCAAAATGAACAATGCAGACATTCCTGGCTCTAAAATAACATTTTCTTTGTTGATCAGTCATGTCTCCAAGCCCCTCTGATATTACTCTTGCTTTCTATTTTGAATTTTTATTCAAACAATAAATAGAAGATTTACTGTTATGCAGACTACTGCAATACTGTAATAATTGTATAAATAACATCAACCCATTCATGACTGCATATTAGAATGGCTAGTTGGACATTTATTGGACAATGACATCATTTGTTTTCTTTTGAACATCGGCAAAAATCAAACATTTCCCCTACTTTGAGCTCCATTTCCAGGTTCTTTTTATAGTAAAATCAAAATCACCTCTATTTCTATAATATGTTTTCCATTCTATCAAATGAGACCAAGAAAACGAGAATACAACCATAAATACTATACGAAAATAGACCACAAAGTTGGCATTTTGATTAAAAAAAAAAAACTGTCGTAGTTTTTTTTCTTCTCATTATGCACTGCATGCTCCAGGATTTTTGTATGGTGCACACAGACCCATTCTCTCACATGTGGGCCTACCAGCTTTCTCCTGCTTGATTTGAAGCCGCTAGAATTTATGAGTATGTATATATACGTCAAACACGGTACCTCGTAAGACGTATATATACGACCTCAACAGTCAAAGGGCTAAAGGGTCTTGAATTAAAGTATTTTATTTTTTATTAGCCATAAAAAGTAAATAATGGGTTTTAGTCATGATATGACTAAAGTTAAAATGTTAAAAGCAGGGGGGGATATAGTGTTGGAGTGGTTGGTACTTTTGTTTAATAAATGTATGAAAGAGGGGAAGGTACCTAGGAATTGGCGGAGAGCATGTATAGTCCCTTTATATAAAGGGAAAGGGGACAAAAGAGATTGTAAAAATTATAGAGGAATAAGTTTATTGAGTATACCAGGAAAAGTGTACGGTAGGGTTATAATTTAAAGAATTAGAGGTAAGACAGAATGTAGGATTGCAGATGAGCAAGGAGGTTTCAGAGTGGGTAGGGGATGTGTAGATCAAGTGTTTACATTGCTAAATGCTGTAAAGAGTTTTTATGAGGATAGTGAGGCTCAGGTTAGGGTGTGTAGAAGAGAGGGAGACTACTTCCCGGTAAAAGTAGGTCTTAGACAGGGATGTGTAATGTCACCATGGTTGTTTAATATATTTATAGATGGGGTTGTAAAAGAAGTAAATGCTAGGGTGTTCGGGAGAGGGGTGGGATTAAATTATGGGGAATCAAATTCAAAATGGGAATTAACACAGTTACTTTTTGCTGATGATACTGTGCTTATGGGAGATTCTAAAGAAAAATTGCAAAGGTTAGTGGATGAGTTTGGGAATGTGTGTAAAGGTAGAAAGTTGAAAGTGAACATAGAAAAGAGTAAGGTGATGAGAGTATCAAATGATTTAGATAAAGAAAAATTGGATATCAAATTGGGGAGGAGGAGTATGGAAGAAGTGAATGTTTTCAGATACTTGGGAGTTGACGTGTCGGCGGATGGATTTATGAAGGATGAGGTTAATCATAGAATTGATGAGGGAAAAAAGGTGAGTGGTGCATTGAGGTATATGTGGAGTCAAAAAACATTATCTATGGAGGCAAAGAACGGAATGCATGAAAGTATAATAGCACCAACACTCTTAAATGGGTGTGAAGCTTGGGTGGTAAATGCAGCAGCGAGGAGACGGTTGGAGGCAGTGGAGATGTCCTGTCTAAGGGCAATGTGTGGTGTAAATATTATGCAGAAAATTCGGAGTGTGGAAATTAGGAAAAAGTGTGGAGTTAATAAAAGTATTAGTCAGAGGGCAGAAGAGGGTTGTTGAGGTGGTTTGGTCATTTAGAGAGAATGGATCAAAGTAGAATGACATGGAAAGCATATAAATCTATAGGGGAAGGAAGGCGAGGTAGGGGTCGTCCTCGAAAGGGTTGGAGAGAGGGGGTAAATAAGGTTTTGTGGGCAAGGGGCTTGGACTTCCAGCAAGCGTGCGTGAGTGTGTTAGATAGGAGTGAATGGAGACGAATGGTACTTGGGACCTGACGATCTGTTGGAGTGTGAGCAGGGTAATATTTAGTGAAGGGATTCAGGGAAACCGGTTATTGTCATATAATCGGACTTGAGTCCTGGAAATGGGAAGTACAATGCCTGCACTTTAAATGAGGAGTTTGGGATATTGGCAGTTTGGAGGGATATGTTGTGTATCTTTATACGTATATGCTTCTAAACTGTCGTATTCTGAGCACCTCTGCAAAAACAGTGATTATGTGTGAGTGTGGTGAAAGTGTTGAATGATGATGAAAGCATTTTCTTTCTGGGGATTTTCTTTGTTTTTTTGGGTCACCCTGCCTCGGTGGGAGACGGCCGACTTGTTGAAAAAAAAAAAAATGACTAAAGTTGGTAAACTTGTTTGATAGATGATACATCAGTACCTTGATAGATATATCTGTACCTTGATAGATGATACATTTGTACCTTGATATATGATACATTTGTACTTTGATAGATAATACAATTGTACCTTGAAAGATTATGCATTTACACCTTGAAAGAAGATATATTTGTACCCTGATAAATGATGCACTGGTACCTTGAAGCTGGTGCGATGACTGGCACTGTAGTGTTGAAGTTCTTGATGTTAACTACAGCTATTTTAATATACATAGACTGTTTGAACTGTTGAAAGTTAAAGCTGCAGGAAAAATGAACCCTTTGACTGTCGCAAGCCCCTTTCTGAAACTGTCATTCTGTCGCAAAAGTTTTGGAAAAAAAAAATTATTTTTTCTTCTGAAATGATAGAGAATCTTTTCCCGGTGGTAATGACACCAAAAGTACAAAATTTGGTCGAAAACTCACGGTATTACGTTTCCGCGAAGTTAGCTGTCTTGGCAACATACGCATCGGCAATTTCGCCGGCTTTGAGTCCTGTTTTTGGCCAATTCCGTTGTTCCAGTTGACCAAACTCATAGCTATTTCTTTAGAACTCCATTTTTTCTATCAGTTGAGTACAAGAAACTGCCCATTTACCGATTTGAACTATCCAATAAAGTGGTCAGAAATTGGCAATTTGGCCAATTTCATGCAAATTAAAAAAGATGCCAATTTCAAAATAGGGTCCAGAATAAACAATGTAGACATTCTTGGCACTAAAATAACATATCCTCTGTTCATTAGTCACATCTCTAGGCCCCTCTCATACAGTGGACCCCCGATTAACGATATTTTTTCATTCCAGAAGTATGTTCAGGTGCCAATACTGACCGAATTTGTTCCCATAAGGAATATTGTGAAGTAGATTAGTCCATTTCAGACCCCCAAACATACACGTACAAACGCACTTATATAAATACACTTACATAATTGGTCGCATTGGGAGGTGATCGTTAAGCGGGGGTCCACTGTATTACTATTGCTTTCTATTTTGATTTTTAATTCATACAATACAAAATTTACTGTTATGCAGACTAATGCATTATTGTAAAAATGGTATAAATAATATCAGTGCACTAGTGAAAGAATATTAGACTCCCCAGTTGACGTGTATTGGACGTGTGGTGTAATTTGCTTACTCCTGAACATTGGTAAAAATTGAACATTTCCGCTACTTTGAGCTCAATTTCAAGGTCGTTTTCATCGTAAAAGTAATGAAAATCATCTCTATTTCTGTAATACGTTTTCCATTTTATCACCTGAGACCATGAAAATGAGAATACAACGATGAATACCATACGAAAATACACCTCAAATTCGGCGTTTTAATCCAAAAAAACGGTCAGTTTTTTTTTCTCATTACGCACTGCGTGCTGCAGGATTTTTTTTATGTGGTGCACACTGACCACACAGACCCATTCTCTCACATGTGGGCCTACCAGCTTTCTCCTGCTTGATTTGAAGCCGCTAGAATTTACGCGTATAAATACGTCCGAAACAGTGGCGCGTAAGACGTATATATACGACCAAAACAGTCAAAGGGTTAAATATTTTATGTTCAGCCTGGTGAGAATGGTACCACAAGCCACTCTAATCTTGACCATTCAACAGCTTAACTCTGAAATCCCTGATAATTTGTTTGTAATATCTTACCATTGACAGAGCAATTTCCTTCAGCTTCATTATAACTCTGAAAAAAAAAAAAAAGGTTTAAGTACAAATCACAGTTATTAACTATGTAATACACTATAATACTTAGTGTACAAGGTTTTGCACTGAAGGTAAGAATAAGAGCCAAATTGAAACAATGGAGAAAAATGCAGACAAGGGGGTGATAAAAGCCATAAAACTCATGTTACCATACTTTGTCATGGGGCTCTGACCCTAACTTACAGGTGCAGAAGACTATATTTACGTATTCCTAAAAGCAGACAATTTGTTCTCTAACCTTGATTTTGGTCTTGGTAGCACTTATTCTTTTCTGACAATTAGGCTAAAAATGTGAGGGAAATTATCTGTAACTGTTTTGCTTTAATCACACTGACCATCTCTCATCAAAGAAGGGCGACCCAAGAAAAAGAAATACATTTAACATTATTCACTCAAGGATGTCTTGTCAGAAGTGTGCAGACATCAGAACTTATTTGATCCTCCAAACTGCAACATCCTCACCCATCCTTCACGATGCAAGCACTGCACTTCAACCTACAGGGCTCGAGTCTCAGTAGTTTGCTGATCAAAACTCAAACTGTTGCTACCAAATAAGTTTTTTCATCACCAAGTGTTACATACACTTTCTCTAACGAGATTCTCAGTATTTTTACAGTACACTTGTCAGCAAAACAAGTCTACTTAAAGGGTCTTCCCTATCACCTTTTAACATCTTATTTTTTCAAACATTATTATTATTATTATTATTATCATTGTGAGGGAAAAGTTCAACAGATAGGAGTAGCGAGCGAGTATATGGTAATGATAGTTTGATTTCCTGCTGCTTGTTAAGGTAGGGTCAGTCTAGCTCCCGCTATCCCCTCCCCCCCTTTCTCCCCACCCCGAAAGGTGACGTGTGGGGCTCCAGCCAAACAGTAATCACTCGACTCACAGCTCCCAGTACAACTCTTGGAATGACAGATCGGGTCACCTGCCAACCAACGAGAAGTGTTGAAGGACACGGACTGAAACAGCCCATGAGACGTCATTCATAATCTACCTACCTGATTAATTGTACAGGACACTACCCCTCATCTTTGCAGTGGTAAAGAACCTGAGTTCCTGTCATCTGGACTGACTATTCAAGGCTACAGACTCTGTGAAGAACTAGTCGTTGGGTGTCACCAACACCTGTGACCCCCCACATCATCAGCAACGGCTACAATTTCTACAAGACGGTGTCAACATCAACCAGACACCCCAGTTTACTTGTACATATTAGCGTTGAATTCAAATGGCAATTTTTCATTTCATTTTTCATTTTTCTTCCAAGTAGGATACAACTTCATATTTCAATGTTTTATCTTTGCATTAATAAATAATAAAGTGTTTATCTTTGTGAATTATTATTTCTTTTTCTATTCATTAATTTTCCTGAGGAGGAGCTAGCCTTGCTAATACTGTCTGAAGTTGTTACAGGGCTGAGTAAGCCTTCACAATCATCATTAAAAAAGCACTATACTACCCATATTAATTGTACAGCAATTTAGGAAAAAACTACTCTATTTTTTCACAAGACAGCTCTGAGGAAATTAATTAAATCAACTAAATCCTTACTGTGTATGTAAAATGCCAACAATATTGACATACCTGACACATGTCTGGGAGGTCCCCTTGGGTATCTGTGGTACGTTCAGAGGAGCCACTGAGACAGTCCTGATCTGACATTCTTCCTGATTCCTCGTCATTTTTGTATTCATCTTCTCCATTTTCAATTATTGTGACACCTTCTGATACCCAGCACACCTGCAATATTTGATTCAATATTTACCTTAAAAATTAAAAGTATGGTATATTCAAAATAGAAAGAATAAAAAGGCACAGTACTGGAACAATACACCAATACCCGCACACAGAAGAATGAAACTTATGACTATGTTTCAGTCCAAGTCAGACCAAAAGATCATCCTAAGTTTCATTCCCATGTGCTGGTATTTGTGTAGTTAAAATAGAAATTTGCAATACTACCCTGAAGGAACCATGAAAGCCCCTGGGGCCTTTGTTAACTACCATTTCATCCCATCCATGAGCTTGAATTTGAAGGAAGTACAGGTCAACCATCACTAATCCGGCAATCAGTAATCCAGTTCCATCAGTAATTTGGGATTAATTTTGGCTAGGATAATTTCAAATTTCCGGCCACTACTGTTTGGTGGCATACCTGCTGCATAAGTCATTCCAATTTCTTTTTCTCCATTTACTGTTATAACCTGCTCACTTTTAGACCTAGCCATGGTTCCAATGGATAAAAGAAATGTTTCTCACTGTGTAAAGCACATATACCGTACATTGTCCATAAAAGATTAGATAGCTATGAAGTCACTGTCGGTCACCACGAGCTCAACTCACTCAGATAAGCTGTGACTGGTAATTTTGGGCCTACGTATGAGAGAATAGGTCTGTGTGGTAAGTATGCACTATATAAAAGAAAATCTTGCAGCACACAGTGCATAATGAGAAAAATACTGCTACCATGTTTTAGGTGTAAAACAACGACTTTGCGGTGTATTTTCACGTGGTTTTTATGGGTGTATTTTCAGTTTTTTGGCCTCGTTTGATAGAACGGAAGATATCTTACAGAATTAGATATGATTTTAATTAGTTTCACGATGGTAAATACTTTGAAATTGAGCTCAAAGTAGCGGAAACGTTAGATTTTTGCCAATGTCCAATACGTGTCCAACTGGCTGGTCTAATATGCAGTCATGTACAGGTTGACATTATTTATACAATTATTTCAATAATGCATAGCAGTAAATCTTCTATTTTTTGTGTAAATAAAAATTCAAAATGGAAAGCAAGCATAATATAAGAGGGGCCTGGAGACATGACTAATGAACAGAGAAAGTATTATTTTAGTGCCAGGAATGTGTGTATTGTTTATTCTGGACCCCATTTTGAAATTGGCGTCTCTTGAAATTTGTGTGAAATTGGCCAAATTACTAATTTCTGACCACTTTGCTGGGTAGTTGAAATAGATAAATAGGCGGTTTCTTGTACTCAATCGACAGAATAGAAGGAGTACAAGTGAAATAGCTATGAGTTTGGTAGACTGGAACAATGGAATGGGCCAAAAATAGGGCATAAAGTGGGTGAAATCGCCGATGCATAAATATCGCCGTTTGGTTAAGTGTATTCTAACCTAACCACTCTGTAATCTGGCAAAATCACTAATCTGGCACCCTGCAAGTCCCAATGATGCCTGATTAGTGATGGTCAACATGTATATGGTATCACATTGCTGAAATAAAAAATAGTGTCATTTAACAGTTAAAGGCACCCAGAGTTCTCAATGCTGCCTTGAAACTTTTAGATGCCTTGAGGATTGCCAATCAACTGTAATTTTACGGCCTACAGAAGGGCCGGTTTTAGTACGTTATCAAGTGTTGGAAGCAGTGTGGAAACTGCCTCAATGCTAGGATATTTAAATATTATTTCATACCGTACTAGCTAAAACCTAACATTACTGTCCACATTAATCTAGCAGTATGCTGATTAGAGTAAAAGTAAATAAATGAAGTAATAATAAATGTCTAAATCACAAGACATTTCAGCACTCTTTTGAGCTCTCATGGCCTAAAATATCTAATAAGCAGGAAAGGTACTACTACTCAAATACAGCTGAGTCTTAAGTCAATAGCTTTAGTAAATTCTTAAGGGGAGGCATAAAACAAGGTAAATCAGCAGCAGAAATTGAAACTGAGCATTGCCATGTAAATTGTTGTTAGTAATGTCTACTGTACTCAAACTCTGGGCTAATGAAATACGTATCCAGTTTGAATTTAATTCCCATTCAACTGAGGGTTACATAATATATATGACTTTTTATTTCAAAATTCTAGGAAAGCGGCTGCTGCTGCTCTTGGCTCCCCATAAGTTATAAGTTATTACCCAAGTACTGTAAATGAATTGCAACTAAATATTTACTCACAGAATCATCATAAAACTCGAAGGGTTCTTCTTTAACTTCGAATTCCGAATGGTCCCCAAGGGGATCTTCTCCCAAGGGATCATGTAAAGGATCATTCTGAAATATTGAAAAACATCATGCTAACCAAACCATAATCAACAGAAAATTACTGTAACTCTTATTAATAAAAAAAAAAAAAACACATAACTGACTGGTATATATGGTAGTTAATGGAAGCCATGGGTATATGTGTATAGTGTATAAGCTGCATATCAAAATGTAAGATTTTCAGTTTCTAAAAATTATTACTTAATCCACAGTTATTTAACACTAAATTAATTTAATTACTAAATCTAAAGGTAATATGTGAACTTACTTTATATTTCAGATAAAACAAACACAACCTCCACCTCTCCATTCTAGTGAATGACTACCATTTAATATACAACAGGCAATCAAAAGAAAGTTGACAGTGAGGATAATTCTTTCCAGCCAAGCCAAAATAAATACAGTACAGTACTCTAATTACAATTACTGAAAAGCTGAAAATGAGGGCAAAAAGCATCATATACAGAAGGGCCCAGCTTTACAGTGCTTTGCTTTATGGCATTTTACTAATGCAGTGGTTTTCAATTATACCCATTCTTCATTTATTCAGACTTTCTATAATAACTATAGTCACACTCACTATAAGCCAAGGATGAATATATTTTAGGGTAAGTAATGTATGTACTGTATATGCATTATTTAAGCATAACTCTAGTGTTCACTTAATACATGACAGTGTAAAAATATCAGGATTTTATATGCATCTGAAACTGAGAAAAGGCTATGTTTCACTTCACGTGAATTTTTGCTTTACAGTGGTAGCCCAGAACCTAACCTGCTGTATGAGCCGGGGCTGCTTGTAAACTATAGTTTATACACATCCTTATTACACTGTTTCAATAGCAGCAATAGCCGCTCGCCCAACGACAAAACAAAATTTTGTAATTAAATGAGATGGATGAATATGATCATCCTGAGTAGTCAATGGGATAAGTGCACATGTCCATGCCCATTTGAGGGAATGTGTAGCTGTCTTTTGAAGCAGCAGCCAAGCCCTTGCCAAAATAAATTAAAAACTTGGAAGATAATTTTCTCAAAACTTATTATTCATGGACTACAGTACACAGTACATAATTTTTAAATTTCTGATTTTCTTGAAAATTTTCTAAATTTTCATGGCCTACTGTGGATCCCAGTGACAACTGCTGACCTGGACACTGTACAGTTCATGTAATAATAATATTAATAATAATCCTTATTTCTAAAAGTACATTTACAAGGCATACAGGCACAGCTGACATCACTGACACTACTACAGAGAACCCCTTGTAATGCAGAAGATTTTGGGCAAATTATTTCACTTTTCTCCCCAGGATGCAACCCACACCAGTCAACTAACATCCAAGTATCTTTTTTACTGATAAGTGAACACGGACAGCAGGTGCCTTAAGGAAACAAGCCCTAATGTTTCCACCTGTACTGGGAATCGACCCCTGGACCCTACTGTGTGAGCTGAGTGCGCTAGCCACATATGCTGCTATGTATGATAATTTATGTAACTGTATTTGTGTGTACCTAAACCTAAATAAACTTACTTACTTACTTAATGGCTGGGTGTAAATAGCACCAGTCTAGCATGAGGCAGTAGGTCACTGAGCATTAGTTAATTGTGTGTTGCAGTAATTTCTTGACATAGAAATATTTCTTTCATTTGGAAAAAAATGTAAAACTTTTACCAAATACACTGAAACTGAGTGACTTTCCACAGAAAGATAGGGAACCAAGGACAGCAATAGTACTGTCATGGTTATATAATGTCATTATTATTATATTCATGGAAGCTTGGTAAACCTACACGGGTCATACAGCACTCGAAGACCAGAAGCTAATCAGTAAGTCTCATAGGAAAGTGTGTAGATCTAATTCCCTAAGTCAAAAGTTCTTCAACAGCATAAGGTAAAATAAGTTACTGGGCATTTGGGCTCACTACTTTTAGTTTTAAAATAAACACATAACTTATAAACATGGGGAAGGGGGAGATTCTATTCAGATTATTAACCAGGTTTAGCGTTGAACCTACAAGGGTTATACATTATTATTATTATAATAATCAAGAGGAAAGCGCTAAACCCATAGGATTATACAGCACCTGTGGGGGATATGTGGAAATTATTCAGGCTCAATTCCAGGAACTGGAGCACAAATCCAATTCCCTAGATCAAGAACCCCCTCACCAGCGTCAAGGAACCTTCCTTGAGGGGACAAGGGTCATACAGCTCCTCTCTTTAATGTCAGTGTAAATAATTCAGTTTATTTTACTCCTAGTATGTCTCCTTTTATTGTAACTGATTTTCAAACAGTTGAGTTAATTAGCTGTCTTAACTTTTAAGGTTTAAATAGTAAGATATTACATAGACCCCAATTGAAATAAGTCACTTTGTCGGACTTTTATGGGTTATCCTAGGTAATTTACACTATGTATGATAATTGTACTTATGTGTACCTGTGTCTAAATAAGTTGTATCATATGCTTGTAGAAATTTATTTAACTCAGGAAAACTCATTAATGCCACTGGCATCACTGTCTGGCTTATTTCATTTGAGGGTTCCTTAATTCTCTCTTCCCCAGGATGCGACCCACACAACAGTCGACTAGCACCCAAGTACCTGCTTACTGCTAGGTGAACAGGGACAGTAGGTGTTAGAAACATGCCAGACATTTACACACGTCCGGGGATCGAACCCATGTCCCTGAATGTAAGCTGAAGCCACTACCAAATAAGCAACGAAGTGTGATCCAAGGGAAGGGTAGCTCCAACTCCTCGGATTAGAAGTCCTTCACCTACATCACTTCACCTTGAATTATTAATATATTGAGGGAGAACCGCTAGACCTGTAGGATTCTAAGGAACTCAGCGTCTGAGGAACGAAGTAACCGGGTTTGATCCTAAAAATATCTCAAGTTCCTTGGATTAAGAGCCCTTCAGCAACCTCAAGGAACCACTCGAGAAGGCAGATAGTGAGGAATGAGAGGAGAACAAGTAAAGATGGTTAACTTACCATCTTCAATAGGTTGAGAGCAACACCATCAACGCTGCACGCTACTCAACTCTCCCCACACTACTCCTCATTAATATGCCTATTTCTGTTGATAGCTTCTAACATTGAGCTGCCTGAAGTGTCTAGCTCATAGTTGCACCCTCAGGGGAGAGTCATGCTCACCACCGACGTAGATCATAGAGAAAACAGCGTTTTTTAATGTTTGCGCGGCGGTGGTGGCATTGTTTACTAGGTTGGTTGTGGTTGTGTCCGCCAGGGCCGCCCACCCCCACCCTGTGTCCGCCCACCCCCACCATGTGTCCTCCCACCCCCACCCTGTGTCCGCCCACCCCCACCATGTGTCCTCCCACCCCCACCCTGTGTCCGCCAGGGCCGCCCACCCCCACCCTGTGTCCGCCCACCCCCACCCTGTGTCCGCCCACCCCCACCATGTGTCCTCCCACCCCCACCCTGTGTCCGCCAGGGCCGCCCACCCCCACCCTGTGTCCGCCCACCCCCACCATGTGTCCTCCCACCCCCACCCTGTGTCCGCCAGGGCCGCCCACCCCCACCCTGTGTCCGCCCACCCCCACCCTGTGTCCGCCAGGGCCGCCCACCCCCACCCTGTGTCCGCCCACCCCCACCCTGTGTCCGCCCACCCCCACCATGTGTCCTCCCACCCCCACCCTGTGTCCGCCAGGGCCGCCCACCCCCACCATGTGTCCTCCCACCCCCACCCTGTGTCCGCCAGGGCCGCCCACCCCCACCATGTGTCCGCCCGGGCCGCCCACCCCCACCTTGTGTCCGCCCACCCCCACCATGTGTCCTCCAACCCCCACCCTGTGTCCGCCCACCCCCACCATGTGTCCTCCCACCCCCACCCTGTGTCCGCCCGGGTCGCCCACCCCCACTATGTGTCCGCCCGGGCCGCCCACCCCCACCTTGTGTCCGCCCACCCCCACCATGTGTCCTCCAACCCCCACCCTGTGTCCGCCCACCCCCACCATGTGTCCTCCCACCCCCACCCTGTGTCCGCCCGGGTCGCCCACCCCCACCATGTGTCCGCCCGGGCCGCCCACCCCCACCTTGTGTCCGCCCGGCCGCCCACCCCCACCCTGTGTCCGCCCGGGCCCCCCTGCCCACCATGTGTCCGCCAGGGCCGCCCCTGCCCACCCTGTGTCCGCCAGGGCCGCCCCTGCCCACCCTCACCTTACTTATTATCATAATTATTCTCTTAACCATAGCAAAAATACTGACTAATTTAAGCCACATATATAATGTGATTCTTGTACTATGCTTTCATATAACAATTGATATATAATTTAGCCTAGGATTGTCCAATAAAGTACAAAAAAATGTGATATTTCTTCTGCTCTACAAGTTTTAGTCATCGGATCAGAAGAAACCAATAAGAAAATAAAAAAAAATTCAAGCCTTCCCACCTACATATTCGTCTAACATATTTTCATTGTTATCTAACCCATCTCACTCACATACTTCTCTAATATTCATGTTCCCCGAAGTTTTGACTTCAATGATCCTACATAGCAGATTGTATGTATCCTAAAGATGATAATACCTTTTATTTTCACAAGATACATTATCATTACAATATTAGGGTAGCAATACGTATTTCTTACAGGGAATGTCCACAGTTAATACAACGATATAAAATGTATTTGAGTATATTTCCGGAAATGCCCCGGCATGATAGCGGCTTTCTTTGTACTTAATAAATCTAATTTGTATTTACACATTGTAACCTTTGCAAAGAAATAAAAATCTTTAATCTTCAATAGGTAAAAGTCACCTCATACCCATCCTGTGGGTAGTAAATTTATTCGGGTATAAGCACACATAAATACAGTTACATGAATTATCATACATAGAAGCATATGTGTAGATTATCCAGGATAACCCTAAAAAAAAAGTCCGGCAAAGTGACTTATTTCCACTTGGGTCCTCGTAATATTTCATTATTTAAACCTTAAAAGTTAAAACAGTTATGTAACTCAACTATGTGAAAAGCAGATATACTAGAAATAAGTTAAACTCAGTTATTTACATTTACATTAAAGAGAGAGAATCAGATCACAGTAACAGATGTATGTTACCTATACAAAAAAAAAAAATCATTCTTCTCCCTTTCTGTAGCGACGTTCGTTAGGTACCTTTTGATTCTCTTTTTGAACTGGTTCATGCTATGAAAGGCTTTGACATGTGCGGGCAGTGCCTTCCTCTCTATTACTGTCCCTACGGGTTTAGCGCTCCCCATGATTATAATAATTATAATTCTTTATTGTTGTACAATAAAAGGTGTTTGAAGCCTGACCACCTGCTGTGGGTACTACAAAGTTGTTCCCTTCCCCTACTACTACACTTGCTTTGGTTCCCAGCACTGACAAACTTACCAGCAAGATATTCTGGACACTGATTGCGAGCATTTTTATAAACGTGATTTAACTTCATTTGTTTTACTCTGTCCTCAATATTCAGCATATCCAGTTGCAATTCATCCTGGCCAACATGTTCTCTGGACCCAGGTTCAGGATGAATCTCACCATTTTGTTCTGGGTGATTTGCAGTCTATCTTTCAGTTTTTTGTTAAGGCCATGAAGATCAAGAGTAATGTATATGGCATTGTGTAAGAGGTAGACATAGGGTCCTGCTAGCCTCGGTAGGTAGACACTGTGCCTATCTGCAAAAGAATTTTAGTCTGGCATTCGCAGTTTTTGCTATGTTCCCTATCAATTCTCCTAGCATGCTTGGGTCAGAGGGGATTCCCAGATATTTCAATGAAGGTACTGAAGTGGTTGGTTCTCCATTATATTGGACATCCTGTAACTGGTAGTCACCCATTCCAATTTTCTGGGTTGGGGAGGCGTCTTCAAGGACCTGCTAGATCCTACAAGTACGATGGGAAAGTGCCCTCATTGACAGATGGATCCTGTAAATAGGCAGAGAGGGCATCTTCAAGGATCTGCTTCATCCTACAAGTAGGCAGGCACCTTCAAAAACCTGCTGGAACCTACAAGGTAATGAGAGCACCTTCAAAGGTCTGCTGGAACCTTCAAGTATGAAGGGAATGCGCCTGGGTGGGCCGTCTGGAATCTATAAGTCGGTGGAGAAGATTCCTGGAAAGAACTCTAGAATCGTGAAAGTAGGCTGGAGGAGCTTTCTAGGATCGCCGTAATAGTCGGTGGGAGAGGCCGCTTTGGAAGTACAGTATTAAAATTGTCTGGAGAAGTCCACAAGAACCAAACACAACAGCAGGGAAGGGGTCTGGATGAGCACTGTGAAACTGTTCGAAACTGTCTGAAGAGGCCACTGTGAATATATTACATTGAAAAATTACATAGAAAGGCCCATTAGTATTGTGCAAGTTTAAAGGGGTGATGCCTTCAAGGGCCCGTTGGAACCTACAGGCCTGTGAGGAAGGCACATGGTGGGATTCTCTGAAGCGATACAATACATATATACGATTGTATAGTATCAATCCAAAGAAAGGAGAATGGGAGGTTCGATGGAGCTATAACTTTACAGGGAAAGCAGCTGAAAGAATTTACTGGAACTATAGAAGATGGTCACAGGAGAAAGCCTAGAAGTAAAAGTCTACTGAAAAAAAAGCGCATGGAAGGCCTGTCCAGAACGATTCATGGAAACTGGAATTCTCTTCAAGGGAAGAAGGAAGGGGCATTGGGGGGAAAGTGTCTTCATACTTATGGAACGCTCTTCGTCCAAGGAATTGGAGCTGCCCTCCCCTTCCTTGAACCAAACCTGATTACCTCCCATTCCCGGACACTTTATGACCTCAATAAGTAACGTATCCCCATAAATCAAAAAATAATCTTAGATGATACTGCTGGAAGAAATTTTTTAATGCAGCCGAATGCTTTTTCTGTCGGCTAATTCAGACGTAAAACTATTCCTAGGAAGCTTAACTGATTTTCATCGGACATAAAAATAAGATATATCTTTGACGTGTCCCTATTGCGACTCTACATGCTACATATATTTAAATAAAAAAATCTGAAATTTCAAAAGCTCCTTAATGTCAGACTGCACAACATTTATAGACTAAGATCATGTTGTTTGAAGTGCTTTGTTTACAGGAGATTACAAATGCAACAATACTACTTTGATATACGTATTTGTTTATTGTTAGTACAACGTACATATATACAGATTTGTTTTATGAATAACGAGTTCAGTTTACATTAACTCACTGGTAGGTTGTGCATGGAGGCAAAATGTATGGAACTTGTATATGCACACAGAATGGAGGTGTTGATGGATTGTACACGAAGTGAAAATCTGACAATATATTGTATAAAGTTGTGGTTAAAAACATGTGAGCAAACATTTAGGAGATTCTATTATTTTGAAGTGAAAATGCCCTAGGACCGAAAGGTATCCATAATAAAAATATTCCAAGTGTTTGCTTATGGGTTTTTAACCACAAATTGTACCCATTTGGATAAAGTATATAGATTTAAGTCTATTTATCTGATGTTTTAGTCAGGCCATACACATATGGGTAGTGAAGACAACACACAAAGTATGAACTGTGCGAGACTAGGCTGGATGGTGTACACTTAATGGGGCGGGACAACAACAGCAGGTGTAGACAGAACGTATGTTTATTCATCAGGAAACAGTTTCCTGAAACGGATCTTCGATGATGTTCAGTGACTCCTCGAAGAAATGTCTATGATGCACAAGTAAAGATATTGCTAATAGCCTCATATCTAGAGCCAAATCCATAACGAGCAAAGTACACTGTGTGGTGCCTCAGAGCTCGGTGTCCTCTGTGTAGAGGGTGTTGGACACGGCTTTAAGTGGTTTGTCCTCTGGTGTGGAAAATCCCAGGCCGCTCTGGATACGTCGCAGGAGAGCGAAAACTGAGAACGGGCAGGTGTGGTACCTCTCAGCACACGTGAGACCAGGCTCGTCCGGGCTGCCTGCTTCATGGCCCGCCATCTCAGCTGATATGTAGTCCTTGAGCAATATGGAATCATTACCTTGTTTGGGGCTGCCGGGAAGAAAAAAAATACACTTTCTTCATCACATCTCATCTAGTTCACCTAAAACATTGTTTTTAAAGTTATATATAATGCACCGATACTTGACCGAACAATAACGTGTTAGCGTGTTTGTTCAGCAATTTGCTGACCCTTGCCCGATTCCTTTAAGAATTTACCCCCTGAGGATGGTGGCACCTCACCGACAGCGCTAGATTATACCCCTGCCTCTCAGTTACTGTTTTCCATATAATACAAAAGTAGACACAGACGAACTCACAAGGAAAAATAAAATACGAAAACTGAAAAAAAATTGCGAGTACTGTATATCTCGGTTTCAAACAAGGGATCTTCAGGCATTCACACAATAAAGATGTACCTGTATACAGTATACAATAATCAACTCAATTCTAACCTGATCTAGACCAAAATGCTGCCATAACTTTTTATGGGGTGTAAGCCAGCACAAGCTTAACTACTAAACAGGTTATCATCTGATTAAGACCCATGTCAGGAAACACTGTCTTGTTTCCCGACGAATACATCTATAGTGATATTATAGTCTAATTTTGATACCCAACTTGCCTTTCACATTTCACTTTTGTCTGCCACTCAGTCGTGGTTTGTTTCTCGTTATCGCCTAGAACAGTCAACTAGATTTCATTTACATTACTATAGTTACCTATACGCCTAGTATAATTAATAATCTGGCAAGCAGCCAAGATAACGTTAGATAACACAACTGATAACCTAATTACGGTGCCCCGTGGCCTGGTGGGAAAAGCTCTCACTTTACATGGTGAGGGTCCGGGTTCGATTCCCGGCGAAGGAGTGGAAACACTGGAGGTGTTTCCTTACACCGGTTGTCTATGTTCACCCATCAGTAAAATGGGTACCTGGGTGTTAGTTGACTGGTGTGGGTCGCATCCTGGGACAAAACTGACCTAATTTGTGGGAACTGCTCAGCATAACAAGCGACTTTCTATATAGTAGTATGTCACTGACGTCAGCTATGGTCTGTATACCTTGTACATGTACTTGTAGAAATAGATATTATTATAATTATTATTATTACTTTTATTAAACTAACACAATGATGCAGTAATAGCTAGGTCTTCAAGCCGAGCTGAAAATTATTAACTTGTTATGTAAAAAAAGAAAATTCACGCATGACCTTGTCAGGTCCAGCTTGAGCAACATAGACAAAATTATTATTAAAACATATATCCACGGTGAAGCCATACATACATACATACGAGGAGGTCATACTCTTGCTCCTGGGGGATTTCAACTTAAGGCACCTAAAATGGAGGAATATAGCAAATAATGTTGTTGCAGTAATAACACCAGGAGGCAGCTCTGATGAAAACTCACACTCACACGAGCTTTTAAATCTCTGCACAAAATTCAATTTAAACCAGCAAATAATAGAGCCTACTAGACTGGAGAATACACTAGACCTCATCTTCACTAACAATGATGATCTGATAAGAAATGTCACCATATCAAAAACAATATACTCAGATCACAACATAATTGAGGTTCAGACATGTATGCGTGGAGCCCCAGACCGACATAATGAGATTAGTCACGAGGGAGCATTCACCAAATTCAACTTCAATAACAAAAACATAAAGTGGGACCAAGTAAACAAGTCCAAACCCGATATAAGCTGGGAAGATATACTAAGCAACACAGACCCCAACTTATGCCTATAACAGATTAACTCGGTGGCACTCGATGTATGCACAAGGCTTATTCCTCTAAGAAAAAGGAGGAGTAGATGTAAAATAGAAAGAGACAGGCGCACCCTTTACAGGCGAGGGAAAAAGAATAACAGAGCGGCTTAAAAGAGGTCAATATATCTGAAATGCGTAGGGAAGTCACTGGTCAGAGAAATAGTAAGCATCGAACTTAAGCTAAAGGAATTTATAGGAGTCAGGAATCGCGGGAAGAACTAAAAGTCAAAATGAAATCGAAAGAAACCCAAAGTATTTCTTTTCCCATGCCAAATCAAAGTCGAGAACAACGTCCGTAATGGGCCCCTACTTAAACAAGATGGGTTTCCCACACAGATGACAGCAAAGGGAAAAGAGTGAGCTACTCAAGTCCCAATATGACTCAGTTTTTAGCAAGCCGCTAACAAGACTGAGAGTCGAAGATCAAAGTGAATTTTTTATGAGAGAGCCGCAGAATTTGGTTAACACAAGCCTATCTGATGTTATCCTGACGCCAAATGACTTCGAACAGGCGATAAATGACATGCCATGCACTCTGCCCCAGGGGCCCGACTCATGGAACTCCGTGTTCATCAAGAACTGCAAGAAGCCCCTATCACGAGCTTTTACCATCCTATGAAGAGGGAGCATGGACACGGGTGTCGTCCCACAGCTACTAAAAACAACAGACATAGCCCCACTCCACAAAGGGGGCAGTAAAGCAATAGCAAAGAACTACAGACCGATGGCACTAACATCCCATATCATAAAAATCTTTGAAAGGGTCCTAAGAAGAAAGATCACCACCCATCTAGAAACCCATCAATTACACAACCCAGGACAACATGGGTTTAGAACAGGTCGCTCCTGTCTGTCTCAACTATTGGATCACTACGACAAGGTCCTAGATGCACTAGAAGACAAAAAGAATGCAGATGTAATATATACAGACTTTGCAAAAGCCTTCGACAAGTGTGACCATGGCGTAATAGCGCACAAAATGCGTACTAAAAGAATAACAGGAAAAGTCGGTCGATGGATCTATAATTTCCTCACTAACAGAACACAGAGAGTAGTAGTCAACAGAGTAAAGTCCGAGGCAGCTACGGTGAAAAGCTCTGTTCCACAAGGCACAGTACTCGCTCCCATCTTGTTCCTCATCCTCATATCTGACACAGACAAGGATGTCAGCTACAGCACCGTGTCTTCCTTTGCAGATGACACCCGAATCTGCATGACAGTGTCTTCCATTGCAGACACAGCAAGGCTCCAGGTGGACATCAACCAAATCTTTCAGTGGGCTGGAGAAAAAATGTGAAGTTCAACGATGAAAAATTTCAATTACTCAGATACGGTAAACACGAGGAAATTAAATCTTCATCAGAGTACAAAACAAATTCTGGCCACAAAATAGAGCGAAACACCAACGTCAAAGACCTGGGAGTGATCATGTCGGAGGATCTCACCTTCAAGGACCATAACATTGTATCAATCGCATCTGCTAGAAAAATGACAGGATGGATAATGAGAACCTTCAAAACTAGGGATGCCAAGCCCATGATGACACTCTTCAGGTCACTTGTTCTATCTAGGCTGGAATATTGCTGCACACTAACAGCACCTTTCAAGGCAGGTGAAATTGCTGACCTAGAAAATGTACAGAGAACCTTCACGGCGCGCATAACGGAGATAAAACACCTCAATTACTGGGAGCGCCTAAGGTTCCTGAACCTGTATTCCCTGGAATGCAGGCGGGAGAGATACATGATTATATACACCTGGAAATCCTAGAGGGACTAGTACCGAACTTGCACATGAAAATCACTCACTATGAAAGCAAAGACTTGGCAGACGATGCAACATCCCCCCAATGAAAAGCAGGGGTGTCACTAGCACGTAAAGAGACCATACAGTAAGTGTCAGGGGCCCGAGACTGTTCAACTGCCTCCCAGCATACATAAGGGGGATTACCAACAGACCCCTGGCAGTCTTCAAGCTGGCACTGGACAAGCACCTAAAGTCGGTACCTGACCAGCCGGGCTGTGGCTCGTACGTTGGTTTGCGTGCAGCCAGCAGTAACAGCCTGGTTGATCAGGCTCTGATCCACCAGGAGGCCTGGTTACAGACCGGGCCGTGGGGGCGTTGACCCCCGGAACTCTCTCCAGGTAAACTCCAGGAATGCTTGGTAATTAGGTTTGCTTTACTGAAGGGAAAGGCAGCTCCAGTTTCTAAGATAAAGAACCCTTCACCAGCCTCCAGGCACCTCCCTCGAAGAAATAGGCTAACATACATCGTTCTTGGATCCACTATCTGGCCACAAAAAATGGAACACGGGAACAGGTTGAAGAACAAACTTTACTGTGACAATGTTTCTCTGAAATTCTCTGTGTAGAGATGTATCATAACTTGATGAAGCTCTATACAGAACGAAATGTTTCAATCAAAGCTTATTTCTTCAATTTGTCTTGGCGGTGATTCGAGGAAAAATTCAATGAAACAATGTTTTGCCAGGAGTGAGGGGTTTATCAAGAAATTTAACAAACAATTCATCAGCACTTTAACAAATACTTTCTAAAGTACTTTATCAAGTGCTTTACTGAGTGCTTTATCAAGTACTCCATCGAGTACTTTATAGAGCACCTAATCGAGTCCTTTAACAAGTGCGACTTTTGCATCCAACGCCACACTCAAGGGCCATGAATACGTCCGACAAGCCTTCTCGTCTACTCACGTGAAAATCAGCGTGAAGATCTCGCCGAAGATAGAGGAGCTGGAAAACCTGTTGATCTGCATTTCACAGATGAATCTGAGGACGCAGGCGTGACCATCAGCTCCCATAGTGGCAATGTTGTCCTCGATTTGCCGAAGGAGGTCCAGCTGATCCTCCTGAATGCTCCTGAAGAGGCGTCATCGAAGTGAATAGGTTAATACAGTCACGGAAAAACGCTAAGCCTACAGGGGTAATAATGTAGCTCTTTGGGGAATGAGAAGGGTGGAAGGGGATGTTCGGTGATTCAGAAGGGGGAGTAGGGTGTGCTAAAAATTTATGGTCAAGAGGCCTGAAAGTCAGGCTAACTTTCCTTTGGTCTGGGGAGTAAATCGATTATGTTTGACAAGGGTTATCCTCGATATAAGTGTAGATGCAACATATATAATAGTGTGGTTATGGTAACATTCATAGATAAGAATAAAGATAGAATAATAATAATAATAATGAATAATTAAAATAAAATATCACAAAATCAACAATAAAAATTGGAATTATTCGATCATTAACCAAAATTTTATATATGTATTATATATAGTATTTGAGTATAGATATAATATAAATATATATTAATCGTGCCGATATGTAAAACTGGTAAGAAGGCGGTAGGGCAGAGGTGAGAGGGGAAAGAGGTTTTAAAATTAAGTCCTTTCTCCAAATTTTGCTTGTACGTTTGATAGGATATTTTTGTTCAATGGTTTTTATTAAAATTTATAATTTTGAGAAAGAACTTAAATATATGACGATTCAGTAACAGCAGGCTAATTTATTTATAGCAGTACAGCCTACTTTAGAGGATTTGTTGCTATTTAAAACTTAGTAAACACAGTGAAAATATTTTTTTCAGTTGAGGTTAGAATTTTTTTTTTTGGACCGAATTATGGGATACCAATTTTCACTTGTCCTATAATGGCAAAATGAACGTGGTTATTTAATCCATAGATCGATTTCTCCTATTCAGACATATATATATATATAATATAATATCCTTTACAAAATATTACCCTGCTCACACCCCCAACAGCTCGTCAGGTTACAAGAACCATTCGTCTCCATTCATTCCTATCTAACACACTCACGCATGCTTGCTGGAAGTCCCAGCCCCTCGCCCACTAAACCTTCTTTACCCCCTCCCTCCAACATTTTCGAGGACGACCCCTACCCCGCTTTCCTTTCCCTACAGATTTAAACGCTCTCCAAGTCTTTCTTTGTTCCATTCTCTCTAAATGACCAAACTACCTCAACAGCCCCTCTTCAGCCCTCTGACTAATACTTTTAGTAACTCTACACCTCCCAATTTCCACGCTACGAATTCTGTGCATAACATTTACACTACACATTGCCCTAAGACACGACATATCCACCACCTCCAGCCGCCTCCTCGTTGCAGCATTTACAACCCATGCTTCCACCCATATAAGTGTGTTGGTATCACTATACTCTCGTAAATTCTCTTTGCCTACATGGATAACTTTTTTTTTTTGTCTCCACAAATACCTCATAGCACCACTCGCCTTTTTTTCTTCATCAATTCTATGGTTAATCTCGTCCTGGATAAACCCATCTGCTGACGAGTCAACTCCCAGATATCTGAAAACATTCACTTCTTCCATACTCCCTCCCTCCAATATGATATCTAATTTCTCTTTATCTAAATCGCTTGATACCCTCATCACCTTACTCTTGTATATGTTCACTTTCAACTTCCTACCTTTACACACCAGCCCAAACTCGTCCACTAACCTTTGCAACTTCTCTTTAGAATTTCCCAAAAGCACAGTATCACCAGCCAGAAATAACTGTGTCAACTCCTATTATGTATTTGATTCCCCATATTTCAATCCCACCCCTCTCCCCAACACCCTAGCATTTACTTCTTTTACAACCCCATCTATAAATGTTAAACAACCATGGTGACATTACACATCCCTGTCTAAGACCTACTTTTACTGGGAAGTAGTCTCCCTCTCTTCTACACACTCTAACCTGAGCCTCACTATCCTCATAAAAACTCTTTACAGCATTTAGTAACTTACTACCTATTCCATACACTTGCAGCATCTGCCACATTGCTTTTCTATACACCCTATCATATGCCTTTTTTAAATCCATAAACGCAATGAAAACTTCCCTACCTTTATCTAAATACTGTTCATATATATGCTTTAATGTAAACACTTGATCCACACATACATACATACATACATGCATACATACATACATACATACATACATACATACATACACACACATACAAACCCACACACACATATGCTTACAGTAAACAGATAATACCTGCGGTAGATGCCGAATTTATTAGAAGATTCGCCAAAGAGAGAGGCCAGGTAGAGGACTACACCCACAGTAAACATGGAGATGGCCACTGTGTTGACTGTATTGTTTACCTCCCCACGATACAGTGGGAAAGTGTATGTTGCAGACAACGTGAGGGTCTGCAATCCTGGGTCTAGAGACATATTCGGTGGTGACAGATGGGGAAGCCAGAGTGAGGCTTGAGAGCTTGGTTATCTGTGAGACAAAGAAAGGTATATAAAAAACCTTGACTCACCTTCCACTGCGCTTTTGTCTATTGAAGACATTGTAGAGATTGATTTCAAGGCGGAACATAATTTGTATAGCCATAGCCAGTGTGTAGGCGTCAATAGTTCTGTCACCCAGGGGGATGGCGAGCTGGATGTAGGTGTACCACAGTGGTCTGAGTGGCGTCACCAAATTCCATGGTATGGGGGCGAAGTCCACCGGCATGACCAGCAAGTCGAGTTCAGGGCTTCTCTGTAAAGAGGTCAAGCCCTGGCCACTGCCAGGGCAATAGGCTTTACGTACTGTGAATGACTATTAAGTTTACAGAGAAGCCCTGGCTAACTACAACACCATGGTGACTGCAGCAACAAAATTTCAATCATCTTACTCAAACTCAAACCGAATCCGCTCATTTCTGAGCTAAAAGTCATTCCATGCTGATGCTGCTTACTCCAAGAATTGCTATGCATAACCAGGTGCTTTCTGTCTAGTATGCAAATGATGTCAGCTAGGTCTGTATCATTTGTAACATGTACTTGTAGAAATGGAGATTATAATCAATTATAATATGATAGTGTAATGGGCCTGAAATATTTTGCATTAAGGGCCCCGAGCGACACTAAGTTGAAATAGCTGAAAGCTACCCATAGATTTACAAATAAACATTGACTGCTCGTCTATTATAACACACTACACAAAATCATTTAAAATATATATATTCTAAGATTTTTACAAAGGAGTAGATAGGAACTATCAGGTACAATATCCTTCACAATGAAATGTGTCAAGTGAAACATGTTCACGGAGAATATAAAATCAGCAAACTACAGGACGAGGTCAACTGCTAGACTAATGTAATGCTGTGTCGCATGCACTTACAATTTAAATGGGAATACCAATCACGTGAAACAATGTGTAAGGAAAGTGAGTGGGCAGGACAATGGAACATTTTATGGGAATACATGGAAAGGACATATAGCAGAGAACTTTGAAGCCCACGCAGAGGATATCTGCAATAAAACTATCTTCTATCTTAAAGGACTATTGTGTAGTTTATCTAGGTGTTTGAGGCTAGGACAGTTGATTCTCAAAAGCAAAATTCATTGATTTAGACAGCACAAGATACCCTACAGGACTTTTTTTTATGGGACTGTATCCATAAAGTGCATTGATAAATGATTGGTTATGTAATGAGGGTGTAATATAGTGCCGGATTTAAATGAAGAGGTCCCAGGCTATTCCATTTGTGATCGCCTCACAATCTCTCAGCCTCACCACCAGACGAAGATGCAAGAATTGTTTTAAACAAAATTCAGTGAAGCCGAGGATGATGACGGTGTTTAAAATTCCGTAATTCACTATTCCTCATCTAAACGATATAAAATATTTTTGTTAAATACTGTAGTGGCTGAAAAAAATGTTAAAATTAACACTGAAAAACTTTTGCTATAGCCAAACTTTGTAAACATTTTTGGAATAGGCAGGAATTTTTAAGAAAATGAAATTGTAAGTTTACTGTTATAATCCTTAAAATACATATATAATTTTAAAATACACATTAAGAAATAAAGAAATTACAATCATCAAATATACAAAGACTAAAAATGCTATTTTCTAACCTTCCTCAAAGCAAAATCATCTAAAAGTTTTAATCAAAATTTGTTTGTCTATGTTTGTCATTTTCAATGCAGAGAATGTTCAGTGTGGACAACCTCTCTTGAGACATTGTGGCCCTTAATTCATTTTTAATTCTTTTGAGGCTTGAAAAAGACCTCTCTCCCGAGCAGTTAGTGACCATTAAGCTATGAAATAGCCGCAAGATTGCGTCCACATTAATGAAGACCATTTGAATTTTTGTATATAATTTGATAAAGGTCTGTATGAGACAATGACTGCTCTTCTGTAGGCCTATGAGACAGTGACTGCTCTTTTGTAGCCCTTTGACCGTCTAAACGTTGTAAAGATTGATTTCAAGGGCTGCAAAAGTTCATCAGTAAGTTTCAGTTCAACATCTTTTGGTTAGGCTGCCATCAACAGTTCAACACATTGCTGAATTTCTTGCTTAGATGCTGACAGATTAGCAAGAAAGGATAACATTTGTGCAACATCACAGTAGTTCTTCTTAAATTGGCTTCAGGTGCATCTAGTATAGGAATAAAAGATCTTATCTTAAACTTATCGGTGCTACCTTGGCTTGTTATCTACGTATTATGAATGTACTTTATGCGATCCACACCTTATATTGCAATCAACACGGTACCTAACCTAACCTAACCTAGGTTAAGTTAGGTACCGTGTTGATTGCAATATAAGGTGTAGATCGCAATGTAAGTGTAGATATCATTTTCCTTGTAGATAACAAGCCAAAGTTGCACCAATATATCTCTTGAAGAGAGTTCATCTAAGGCATTAGGACCAGGTGGACTTCCTCATTACCTTGCCTTTCCTTACTCTTTGTCTTCTTGTGGCAGTTCTGTAGTTAACATTTGGCAAGGTGGCTTTTGCTTGTTGATCAAGTTCATCAAAATCTTCTCTAATTTTGCTTAAAAAATTCCGAAGTGAACTGTAAAAACATGCACAAGTACTCAATAACAATCCTGATTTCTGAATGGCTTTGCTGACCTTGTGAAAATGACCCAACACACGAGTCCAAAAATGCAGCATAAACACAAATTCCAGTTCCTCCATTTTCTGCAAAATATTGTTAGCTTGAAGCCTGGTATTACCCTTCTTATTAATATCAAAGTACAAATGACTGAGGCCTCAGTCACCTTATCTATCTCACTGCTTTTCTGGAAGGACATACAAATTTAATCTGACTTTTTGGGTTATCCTGGATAATTTATACGTATGCGTACTTATGTGTACAGTAGATGAATATAAGAGGCCTGAGCTTGCTACTACCTGCAGCTCATGAGACTGCCATCCCCACGAGCCCCTTTGGGGCGGGGTAGATGGCAGACCAGAGGCCTAGCTTCTCCCTACGAGCCCCGTGAGGGCGGGGACTGTGGCTAGGCCTGGGGACAGTTGGTCCCAAAGATGAGGGGGTAGTTGTACCTCCTCCCATGGGAGACTTAGGTCTCGGGATACTCCCCAGATAGGGAGCCAAGGCCGGGTCACCACTACTTGGAAAAGACCCGGGCCGGGAGAATACCGGCGAATAAGAAAAAAAAAAGTAGATGAATGGTTCACAGAACCGACACGTTGATAAATTAGACACATGTGCAACTCTTGGGTATCTTTATTAAGGAAACGTTTCGCCACACAGTGGTTTCATCAGTCCATACACAGGAGAAACTTGAAGAATAGGAGGAGTTGCACATGTGCCTAATTCATTTATGTGTACTGTGTACCTGTACCTAAATAAAATTACTAATCACTAAATGACCTGGTGCGCGGGGGCAGAGTAGCCATCACAACTTAACAGCATCATGCACCAATTTTGCATCAGTCACGGAAGACAGATGGATCAGTGAAGACGTATATGCAGATAAAAATCTTTTCTTGTGACCACGAAACATTACCACTATTAACTTGTCCTGCCGTCTGTTGCTTACCACGTTCCTGTGTACAAGTGAGTCGATGATATTGTCGTCACCAGGAAGCTGTGAGAGTTCCCGTCTCCTTACTGCTTTGTTGTATGCTGTTGTACGCTGTGTTGTGATACTGAATGATGTATATTAATGTACGCTGTGTTGTGATATTGAATGATGTTCCATGTTAATTTATGCTGTCTTGTGATACTGAATGAAGTGTTATCGTGAGTGGCTGGTGTTTTCCGAGTCACATGTTGGTAAGCTGCGTACCAACAAGTGTTACGAACTGCTTACATTGTAAGATGCTTGGAAGATGGGTGATGCAGCAGGAGGTAGAGAGAGAGGTAAGATAACACCGCTTACCGCTACCAGCACCAGGTGGGGAGACGAACAAGCAGCAGCAGCAGCAGGAGGAGGAGAAGGACGAGTTGAGAGCAGGGACGTCAGCCGTGTGACACCGAGCAAGAGGCTTTACTAATGTCTCATGATGTCTCCACACTCACACCTAACTCTTCGCCGCCTCTCCCCCTCCTCCTCCCCCTAAATACTTTCTCCCCAAACCACTTCCCTTCCTAAGCTTTTCTAACCTTTAACCCCATTTTTCGACAGATTAGGTTTACATTTTGCCACCGAGGCGCCTAGCGTATTGTACACCTCACATCCTTCCTGTGGTCGGAAGCGAAGGAACTCTTGGATATACGGACAGACCTGGGAATTAAACCCCAGAAGGGTTAACAGGATTATATCTCGATAAATATTTACAATTTATATTTCATCTGTTGCAAGAAAATTTGGGACATTTTCTTAAAATATCTGGCATCTTATTTCCATTAATAAGGTACCTTGACATATTACTTTACTTATTATAGTGTCTGTCTCTATTACTCAGTGTGTTAATAATCAAACGCATAATACTCAAGAAAGTAACCGTAAGGCTGACCACATACTTTGTATTTGCTTTTATCATCATCACTGCGTCCGCCAACCTGCCAGAAGCACTTGTACCCAGGCTGCAACATCAATCAGTCAGTGTATATACCAAACTGTCAGTACTTGTAAGCCTGGTTATTACAGAATCAGTCATTCTGCAAGTTGCTCCGTACAAGTGTTTATCTACAGTCGTGTTATCGTTGTGAGTTTTAGATCTTCTCAGGTTTCTAACTGTATGCCTATGACATTCAGATTCATTATTTACTCTTTTCTAATATTTCTAATACTTGACACAATCATACCAAAGTTATATTCAACTTTTTCCTATCACTTTTTATCTTTTCTTGACAATCTTTCTCTCATTGTGAGACGATACAACTCTTACGAATCCCATGTTTCCCATCTCTCATCCATCACCTGAAGTTCACTCACACCCACCACTCCATGTCAGTAATATGTATACTTTATATATTTCATCCCTCTGTGCATGCTATGGTCACGTGACACTAGCATATACAGAGGGATTGTATGTATAAAGTATACTTATTACTGACACTCATGCCCCACCCATTACCTGAAGACCACCCATAGCCACCCATCTCATCTCCCCCAATCATCTCAACACCACCCACGTCTTCAGATAGAGGTACAGATACCTGTCTCTACCAGTAAAACAATGTGGTTTATTATATATTATAGGTATGTGTGGATAATTCAGGGCGTAGAGTAGCGGAGGCTCCATCCTTCGTACAGTAAGCACAGGATCCACGCATTACCTATTTGTACTCACGTGTATCCACTGGGTTCTCCCTGCGATAGAAAGTGACTGGGAGGGGAAGAAACATTGGCTGTCGTAAAGGTGACCCATTAAGTACTTGAGGTAATATTCCTTATCCCACTCATGTACGTGGCTTTCCTTTTTATAATGGAGGATTTCCTGTGGCCCTTATAACGACATAGTGTATAATAATAATAATAATAATAATAATAATAATAATAATAATAATAATAATAATGCACTTCTCACTATGTTTTCCACCCTCATTTTCAGCATTTTGTAAATATGGGACAAATACGCATCATTAAAGGTAATAAACCAAAAGATATTCAGCAAGCCTTTATTAAAACGTTGTTTCGTTCAGTCTGAGAAAGATATGGTTTTAATAAAGGCTGTTGTGTCTGTTTTTAATTTGCTACGTGTGGGTTTACTGTATGTCTGTCGTAACATCGTTGATCAATACCCGGTCCTTCTACTGACAGCGTTTTAATTCTTGCAATGAGAGACCGGCTCACGATCCTCGGACTAGTAAAAACTTTGGGTATGTTTCCTTATCCCTACTGTCCCTTGTTTACCCAGCAGTAAGTAGATACCTGGGTGTTAGCCGTCTGATGTGTCTCGCATCCAAGTGACGAGGATAAAAGAACTAGTGGAAATAAGCCAGTTTGATAGCAGGGGCTTTTTTTGATCCTGGGTTACTAACCCTTCAGATTAATAATCCGAACAAAATCTTCCTTGTATTAAGAATATCAGATCCTCTAATCATCTGAGAAAAACTGTTTCACTTACCTCGTTGCATAACTGGGGGGAGCGCTAAGCCCGTGGGAGTCTTACAGCCCATGCGGTAATAGGAGGCAAATCAGATTCCATCCAAGGAAAGGGAGGGGTAGCTCCAGTTTCTCTGGATCAAGAACTCTTCACCGGCAAGAAGGCACCTCCCGTGAAAGCACTATTGCAGACTCATCTCATGCTTGAGAGAGCACACCCTCATTTGTGTCGGCACTCAGAGAGTTGTCTGCCGTCTGGGTGAAACGTCTGCCTTTCTTATAGCTGTTAAAAAACAGAAGCCGTAATTAATTTGTTTTCCAGATAACGTTTCAACTGCACACAGTACACTTTTTTCAAGACGTGAAAACGTGCTGTGCAGGCGAAACGTGTGGATAAGGTTTCAAATAAGTTTTTTTTTTTTTTTGTCTTCATCTACAACTCGTCTATGTTCCCTTACCATATATACTTCAGCTACTTTACTTATATTAGATTTTCATGCCCCCCCCCCAAAAAAAAAAAATCTGATCTCAGCTCATTTTAATGAGCGGCCTTAATTATAGTGTACTACCGCCCTCCAACATGCCACACACAAGAGTTTGCTATCACATACTTATTTTCTAGGTGACCAATGGCAGTAGGCGCAAGGAGACCTGACCATTCTTACTCGTATTTCTTGTCCATAGATAAATATATAATGGAATTCCCCAGGTATCTAATACTTCTCTTTATCTAATACTTCTCCTCTTCTTTCTCTCTGGCTAGTTGGTTACCTCTTACTCCTCACTGATTTCATATTCTTACCCTATGGACGAATTTCACGGGGTGAGCCTTTCATACTAAAATAATAATTTTTATTTCTTCAGAACACATGATACAACTAAGACAGACCTAGTTGATATCAAGGACTTGCTATACAGAAAGCCCCTGGTTATTCAAAGCTTTTCGGGCAGCCTAAGTTAAATTTGTCTCCCAGGATGCGACCCACAACAATCGTCTCACACCCAGATACCTCCTGCCCAACGTTTCACCCGTGCAGGGCTTCAATCCCGGACCCCCGTGACCTGAGGACGCTACCTACCTAGCCATCAATACTCACGAAGTTATAATAACACGACTGCAAACAAATGGAATGGGTAGGGTTCGAAGTCGTTAACCACTCGGCCAGCTGGTCAAGTGGTTAACGCACTGGCCTGTGAGTTTTAAGACTCACTAGCCGTGGGTTCAAGCCTCACCCGTTCCCTGATTATTTTTTTTTTCTTTTGGCCAAGCCATCAAACCATGAAGACAGTACCACTCATCCTGTGAATGAACGTACCTCGAGCGAGGTTCCTTGATAGGGTGAACGGTTTTTGACGAGACATTTGGGCCACGCTCGCCTTCCGCGGATGAAACCTGATTTATCTCCCATTCCCCAGGCGAGACATGACCCATACGAGTTTAGTGCTTACCCCATAAATATATAGTACATCTGCCAATACAAATTATCATCATGCCGCAGTAATAATAATAACAGTAATAACCTATTCACCACCAAGAATATTAAATCCCTCAAACAGGAATTCCAGTAAACTCTTGTATATATACATGTTGAAGATTGAGACACATATATACATGTATATACATGTATTTAGAGAAATACAACCCTTGGTGTATATATCCTCTGTTTATTATTATTATTATTATTATTATTATTATTACTATTACTATATCAAGGAACTGAGAGGTCCTCGCCCCACCTACGTCATTCACCAACACATTCTGCTCTTGTGATAATCACATATAAGTCTGGGCCGGAGAACTGGCTGAGGTCAGTGGCTTGTTGCTGTTGTTCTCTTAAGGTATGCAAAACAACATGGTATATTTTACTAATAAAAATCTCAAATACCTGGCCAGGTACATTCTTCGCAATGGAAAGCAGGGTGGTCTGGCCTGGCCTCATAGACACCTATTTTAATTAAAAAAAAAAAACGAAATATATTTAAAATAGCTTATCGTAAAACATTTAAAATGGCTAATTAAAATATATTTAAAATGGTGTACCCTAAAAATATATAAAATAGATTAACCTATATTATATTAAAAATAGATTACCCTAAACTATAATAATATTGCTTATTCTAAATTATATTAAAAAGTAAATTGTTTGTAAATTATAGTATAAATAGCTTATCCCAAACTTCATTAGGGTAGCTTACCCTAAATTATATTAAAAAAGTTTACCCTAAATTATATTAAAAAAAACTTACCCTAAATTATATTAAAAAAAAAATACACTCTGTAATTATTATTTTACTACATGTAAACCACACAATAACCAAATTCTGTAAACTCAGCATTGTAATCCTTATAGAGAATAAACTTTGAATTGAGATCGACATTTGACACCATGCCTAACCCTTCTAGGGTAGGGTAGGTGCCTGAGTCCGAGCTTTTAGCTCATAAGACTGTCATTCCCATTTGCTCCTTTGGGGCGGGGATGGCAGACCAGAGAGGCCTAGCTTGTGGCTAGGCCTGGGGACAGTTGGTCCCAAAGATGAGGAGGTACTTGTGCCTCCTCCCATGGGAGACTTCGGTGTCAGACACTCCCTAAGGAGGGAGCCAAGGCCGGGCCACCACTTGGAAAAGGCCCGGGCCGGGAGAATACCGGCTAATCTTTAATAATAATGAGATCGACAGATCGACACCATGCCTAACCCTTCTAGGGTAGGGTAGGTGCCTGAGCCCGAGCCTTTAGCTCATAAGACTGTCATTCCCATTTGCCCCCTTGGGGCGGGGATGGCAGACTAGAGAGGCTAGCTTGTGCTAGGCCTGGGGACAGTTGGTCCCAAAGATGAGGAGGTACTTGTATCTCCTCCCATGGCAGACTTCGGTCTTAGACACTCCCTCAAGAGGGAGCCAAGGCCGGGCCACCACTTGGAAAAGGCCCGGGCCCGGAGAATACCGGCGAATCTTTAACAATAAGTAATAAAACTTTGAATTGAATATTTATTAAAGATTCGCCGTTTTCTCCCGGCCCGGCCTTTTCCAATGGTGGTCGGCCTTGGCTCCTCTTAGGGAGTGTCTGAGACCTAAGTTCCATGGGAGGAGTTACAAAGACTCCTTATCTTTGGGACCAACTGTCCCAGCCTAGCCCAAGCTAGGCCTCTCTGGTCTGCTACCCAGCAAGATAGTTGTGAGCTGTAAGCCCTGGTAGGCACCTACAATTACCTAAAAGGGTAAGGAATGGTGTCGATGTAAATATTTACTACATGTAATACACAAATAAACTCAACCTAAATTACTAGAAATCTTACCTAACGATAAATGTTGCAAAATGATATCAGAAATCAATTGTAAAAACTTTTCTTGGTTTTTGGGCCAACTGTTTTAAGTTTATTAATGCTATTCCCATTAGCCCCCTTGGGCGGGGATGGAATCAGAGAGGCCATACCCTTTGACCTGGGGACAGTTGGTCCCAAAGATGAGGAGGTACTTTCCTCCCCCATGAATTCGTGTTCTAACTCCTCAAGGGAGCAAGCCGGACACCACTGGAAAGGCCCGTGCCTGATGTATATACCGGCGATCTTTAATAATAATATAATAACTTTGAATTGAATATTATGTAAAGTTCTCCGTTTTCACCGAGCCTTTTCCAATGTGCCCGGCCTTGAGCCCCGTTAGGGTAGTTCTAGTTTCCCAGCGGAGGTCAAGTCCTCCTTATTTTGGACCAACTGTCCCGGCTAGCCACAACTAGGCCTCTTGGTCTGCCATCCCAGCAGGATGGCTTGTGAGCTGTAAGCCCTGGTCAGCATAGATACCTAAAGGGTAGCAGGGGAGTGAAATTACCTAAATACATTAAAAAAACTTACCAGGTGATAAATGGCTTCTCCCAAATAATATTTCAGAAGAATTATTTGTATAAAAAATTATCCGTTTTATTTTGGGGGGGGCACTGTTTTATAACTGAGTTATTCTTCTGTATACACCATACAGGTTTACTGTCTCTTATTTTATATATTGTCATCCCCATTATACACCGAAGTTATCTCTAATTATATACACTAAGGTTTATCAATGAGTGTTTAACTGATAAAGTGAGTTCCAAGGTATATACACCGAGAGGTGTATGTCTCTCAGTGTATATACACTGAGAGGTGTATGTCTCTCAGTGTATATACACGGAGAGGTGTATATTATCCTCTAAATTACACTTTGTATACTACCTAAAGAAATAAAGTTGTTTGTTAACTTTGTTTAAGTAAACGATAGCGTTTAAAGACGATTAACCAACCTCTGAAAGAAGCGTATAAAATAGCTACTGATTATACACGAGGGCTAATATAAGTGACATGATATAAGTCAGGTCCCGGAAGCAGGCGGAGGATCTAGGGCAGGGGGAGAGAAATAAGAGTAATCAAGGAAATAATAGTTACTACATCAGGGTTCAACTGTCCCTGAGAGATGCTGAACCCTGGTGAGGTGAACACATGAGGCGAGGCGATATAAACAACATATATAATACGAAGCAGAGCTTCCCTTCTTTTACAGACCAGACCTATAGGTCAAAAACACGTATGCACGTTTTTCCAGGAGTAGTTTTTTCAGACTGAAGAAGCTAATCGTGGCAAAACGTTTCCTTAATAAATGCCCCGACCAGTGAATTTGCGTCCATTACCTACAACTTGTGGGTATCATCACACCAGGTCCGCCATAAACCTGATCTGTTATCCCAGGCGCTGTATGACCTTCCTACGGACGTAACACTACCTCAGGAATGAAGAACTGTTATCCTAGATCAGCTCATTTTGATGCCCAACCCTGTCTGAGGTATACTACTATCACCTCCCGTCGACTAACACCCAGGTACCTACTTACTGCTAGGTGAACAGGGGCAGCAGGTATGAGGAA